TTTAATTTCTGTGTGTGTGTGTGCATGTGAGTATGTGAGTCTGTCAGTGTGTGTGTGACTATGTGAGTTTGTGTGTGTGTGTGAGTGAGTATGTCTGTCAGTGTGTGTGTGAGTGTGTGTCTGTCAGTGTGTGAGTGAGTGTGTCTGTCAGTGTGTGTGTGAGTATGTGTGTCTGTCAGTGTGTGTGTGACTATGTGACTATGTGAGTTTGTGTGTGTGTGTGTGTGTGAGTATGTGTGTCTGTCAGTGTGTGTGTGAGTATGTGTGTGTGTGTGTGTGTGTGTGTGTGTGTGTGTGTGTGTGTGTGTGTGTGTGTGTGTGTGTGTGTGTGTCTGTCAGTGTGTGTGTGAGTATGTGTGTCTGACTGTGACTGTGAGTTTGTGTGTGTGTGAGTGAGTGTGTGTGTGTGTGTGTGAGTGAGTATGTCTGTCAGTGTGTGTGTGAGTGTGTGTCTGTCAGTGTGTGTGTGAGTGTGTGTGTGTGTGTGTGACTATGTGTGTGTGTGAGTGTGTGTGTGTGTGTGTGTGTGTGTGAGTATGTCTGTCAGTGTGTGTGTGAGTGTGTGTGTCTGTCAGTGTGTGTGTGAGTATGTGTGTCTGTCAGTGTGTGTGTGTGCATGTGAGTATGTCTGTCAGTGTGTGTGTGTGTGAGTATGTGTGTCTGTCAGTGTGTGTGAGTATGTGTGTGTGTGTCTGTGTGGTTCTGTCAGTGTGTGTGTGTGTGTGGTTCTGTCAGTATGTGCATGTGCGCATGTGAGTACGTGTGTCTGTCAGTGTCTGTGAGTTTGTGTGTGTGTGTGTCAGTGTGTTTTTTTCAATGAGTCTGTCAGTGTGCGTGTGAGTGTCTGTCAATGAATGAGTGTGTCAGATAAGTGAGTCTGGCTGTCAGAGATGTCTGTATGTTTGTCATTGAGTGTGTGTGTGACTGTCAGTGTTTATACACCCCTGACTGTAGCGTGGCCAAGCGGAGTGTACCGTGGTACAGGAACTTCTGTTTCCTGTACCTGGCAGAACTTACAGGAAAAGCTCACTGTACCGGGATTCGCTCCGCTCAGCCACGCTACAAAAAAAGGTAGGAGGCACACCAGGAAGGGGAGGGGACCACTATGGGGGTGGGTGGCGCACCAAGGGACAGGGAGAGGAGGGGAGAGATATCCTAAGGTACAGGAAAAGGAGGGAGGGGGGGAGAGGAACACTAAGCGACAGCCAACAGATGGGGGAGGGGAGAGGAACACTAAGGGACAGGGAAAGGAGGCGGGAAGGGAAAGGAACAGTAAGGGTCAGAGAAGGGAGGGGACCATTAAGGGACGGGGAGAGGGGCCGGATGTGAAAGAAACACACAGCGGGGCTTGAGAAGGAAAGAGACACACACAAAGGAGCTGGGAAGAATAAAAGACACAAATGGCTGGGAGAAAAGGAGTCACACAAAGGGGCTGGGAGGAGTAAGACACAAAATGTGGGAGGATGTAAGAGTCATACAAAGAGGAGAGATAGGAGACACACAAAGGAAAAAATAGGAGATAAAATACACTAAAGGGAGTCATATATTTAAAAGACGGGATAAGAAACACAAAAGGGAGGTTAAGAGGCACATGGGTGAAGATGTTTTTGGGGGGGCGGAAAAATGCATCTTCGCCTATGTACCCAAAATTCTTTGCACCGGCCCTGAGCACAGGGGGTAGGGACAGTCGATTCTACCCCCCAGCGACCGGGCTCTTTAGCCAAAGGGGAGACAGTCGGTCTCCCCCTCCTGCAGCAGAATTGTGTATCCAAAGGGGAGACAGTCTGTCTCCCTCTCCAGCCACCAGGCTCCAACCAGACTACTCCCGTGGTAGTGCTGACACCAGGGCAGAGTACCGCTGGTCTCTGCCCACTCAGCAACCCACCAAGGCAGCCTACCAGTTCCCCGCACAGCCATGGTGAGGCACCTGGACATGGACAAGCTTCTCCTCTACCCAGATGTAGTAACCATTTATTGTGGGTGGGCTGTACTACTGTTTCTGTTTTGTGGGTGGGCTGCTGGACTAACAAGGGCACTGACCGGCAGGAGGTCAGATACCCTGTTAGTCTGATTGGAAAAGGGGAGAAATGTGGCGGAACCAACCTCGCCACTGTGCAATGGAGAAGCCTGGTTGCTCGCCTGCTCCCTTTAGATTATGGCCCTGCAGTTCAGAGCTGTTATTTTCCCTGCTGAAAGGTTTATTCGTGCCTTTCTGCCAGGGTGTTCGGTAGATTCCATCTACCGAACAAACTACCGAACGATAGACCACCTGGGAGCTGGAGTGTGCCGTCAATTGACCGCCCAGAAGCTGCGGTTAACCGCAGCTTAATTGATGAAAGCTGGGTGGCCTTTGTTCGTCTGCTGAACACGCGGCAGTGGCCATTTTACCTCCCGAATGGCCAGCGGTGTTCAGCGCCCAAACTATGGAACTGAAAACGGACACTTATTGGCGCGAACACCGCTGAGCCGCCAGCCTCCTTACCTTCCCATTCGGTAAGCAGAATCGAATGACTGTTCATTCGGTAGTTTCGCTGGATGAACAGCATCCCCCAGATAGCTAAGCCATGAAGCCTATTCGTGTAACGAAAGACTATGGGAAAGACTTTGGCTCCATGGTGATTGAACTGTATGTGATCTGAGCGCCATTCGGTAGTAATGTGCGCTCAGATCTAAGCTATCTGGGGATATGTAGAATGTATATGTTTTAGGTAATAAATGTGGCTGTATGTAATTTTATTTCTTTTACTGTATTGTTACTGCCATGTGGTTAATGGAGTTTTGCCTCTGTCCTGGGAGATAATTGGATTACTTCCCAATTATCTCCAGGACAGAGAGGAGGGATTGTGATGTAATTGTGGGAGTGTTTAAAGGTGTATGTATGTGATTGGCTAAGTGCCAATATGTTTCCCAATTTCCCATTTGGTCCCCTAGGGGAGTGTCCACCAGGTGGGAGACTTGCATAAAAGCCGGGCAGTTAGCCCCAGTAAACCAGTTCTGCTTGACCCTCAAAACGAAGTGTCGTCTCGTTATTGGGGGAATTGGATTGTATGCTGATTGCCAGGAGTGTAAGCTGATTGTATGCTTTTCCTGTTCAGCTGCTTACAGCATTCATATGCTTGAGAGCATTCGCATGCTTCTCCGGTTCGGTGGTTGTGGTGTCTGCTGCAGTGCTTGGAGTCCTCAGGAAGCACTAGGAGCATCCTTCAACGGAGGTACCCAGTCGGGGTGCCAGGTGATCCGTTACAGTGATGTACATTCAAATAGCTTTATAATGTTTTTTAAGCAGTTTCTTTTTTATTTCTTAAAAGAGACACTTAAAATATGCCTAGTGGCTTACCAATAATTATAATATAAAGCATACCTTTTGTTGCAGTTTTTTTTGAATTTGACAATTTTTATTCGTTTTTCGTTGGAGGCATTACATAGAATGTCTCGGGGTACAGAATAGAAAGGGAGTAAGAGGGTGCAAATAATAAGTACAATCACAGTATAATGCAATTAGGATAGGATACAAAAGAGAAGGAGGGAAGGGGGAAATGTGTTAGTTAAACCTTGTTGGGGTAGCGTTCCATGTGCACACTGCGTTAGGGCTAGTCTCGTACTGTCAAAGAGTGCTAATGAACAAGAAGTGCATTAGGGGTGTTTCATGATGGGTGGCTGGTTTCTTGTGATGCGCTCAGTTGCGCGTGTGTAGGTTGCAGGTGCCTATCTAATGGCCACTACCAAGGTCGTTTGTGGTTCTAGGAGGAAGGGCTACTTGGGTCTGCGAGGGGGGGGGGAAGGGGGAGATGGTCCTCAGAGATAGGCTTCGCTGAGTAGGGGTCTTGGGCTTGGGTGTGTCTGACCAGTGGAGGTTCGTGTGGCGGCTTACGTCTCTGGTCTAGGGATGTGGGTGTTAGTCTCGTGTCCTTATTATTTGTGGGTAGACCTGCGTGTCTCCCAGATCTCCCAAGCCAGGGACCAGTGCGACGTCTTTTCATGCGTGTCCCTTGCCATAGTTTCGTATGTTTTGTTTGTGTCTACTGCTTGGACGCATTGTGCAATGGTGGGTGGAGAGGCTTGTTCTTTTGTTGCAGTTTTATTGATAAAATACGTCAACTACAGCAACTATATTTTAAAATATTTTCTGTGTTCAAAATCTATAGTGCATACGCATAGTTAGTAAAGAAAAGCATGAAAGAAAGATACAGAACATAACTGTGACAAAACAACAAGGGATAAACCGCGCCAAACAGAACTCAAAAATCACACGGGTGAAGTCAATCTTAACAGTGTCCCAAGAATGCGTAATCAATATATCTATATACACACATACTCTCTTTAGAGTAAAGTATTTTTGTATTTCAATACCAGGAAAATCTCAAAATGAAACAGAAATACAACAAAACATAGTGTAATATGAGATAACAAAACCAGGAAGCAACTGGAAAAGCTGTCTGATAGAAAGTGAGAGGGTTCTAAGGTTACTTTATAAATGAAAAAATAGTACACACTCTTAACACATACATCACTTCTCAAGCTGATGTACTTTAAGGGTCTACAGTGTCTCTTTAATTTCTGCTCAGGGGTAATGGGCCAAAAACTTCAATGCATGGGGAACCTTGGAAGAATAGATATTTTGCATTTTTCCAATACGCTTAAAATATGGATACTGAAGGCAATTCAAATGAAAATTTTTTGGTTTTTTTGAGGTTTTTCTTTAGTAGCTACAATCTACTAAATTCTATAATGAGTACAACAGTCATTTATATCGTGCTTATATGTTATGTAGGATTTAAATATGTATTTCACTAGATATTAGAGCCACACTTATAGAGATGAAGATTGGAACCTCGGAATATTAGGAAGCAGTGTTACTCTCCCTATTTAAGTGCCTGGCACTGGATGATCTTAATCAACTCAGCCAGGAAGACAGCCACTGTCAAATGGAAAGGTGTCAAATGGAAAAAAAGAAATATCCAGGCATACATTAGGTTTCTTCTAAAGGGCAGTCTTTATTTGAAACAAGGAAGTGGAGACAACGTTTTGGCTCCTCTTTGAGCCTTTATCAAGCCGATAAAGGCTCAGAGAGGAGCCAAAACGTTGTCTCCACTTTCTTGTTTCATATAAAGACTGCCTTTTAGAAGAATCCTAATGTGTGCCTGGTTATTTCTTTTTTCCATTTGATGTCTTTAGGGATTGGCCCTCCCTTTCTGGAGCACCCTGCAGAAAGTATTCCCCCCATTTTTTAGAGTGTCATAGAGGATCCAGCATCACCATTAGCCTGCTTTTGTTGGGAAGCCTGCAATGGCGTTCCCACATCAGGCACAACTACCCATGATGATGCAGATGTGTTCTTCATTGCCAGCACATCAGCTCATTGAACAGAGTTATGCAAGTCTTCACTCTTACTCTCTCCTTGTTCAGAAGCTGGCTTGGGTGGTGGCGCATGTTCTCTATGTATATTTTGATCATGAATCTCCTCCGTACACCATGCAAAGAAGCTTCACTAGTAAAATTTAAATTTGAGAGCTCTAATCTTTGTGGTGATAAAAATGAACTTGATGCACATTGATGTGCTTTCTACTAGCAAGATAAGTCAACTACCAGTTCTTCCCAGGGCCGTCTTTAATAACGAATGGACCCTGGGCAAGTGTTTGCTTGGGCCCCCTGTGCCCTGCCGCTCTCGCCCCTCACTCCCTGGTATGCAATCACGGTACTAAAGTAGAATGAATTTTATTGGGACACCCAATTGCAAGGTTGGACTAAAGGTAGAACCCCATCTGTCGTGCAACTCCAACAATGCTTTGACAGCTGGGACTCTACCAACTTCCCATGCTTGCAGGGTTGTATTTAGCACTGAGCCATGTTAGTATGTTTGAATGTAAGCATGTGTTTGTATGGAGTATGTTTGTGTGAATGTGTTTGTATGTGGTACTGGAGTTTGAATGCAAGTGTGCATTTATGTGTAGTGTTTGTTTTTGAATGTAGGAGTGTGCTTGTATGTAGTGTTGACGTTGGAGGTGTGTATTTGAATTTAAAGTTGCGGCTCAGATGCACAGGTACACACTCTGACGCACAAGCAGATACACAGATACATACACTGACTACATACAGATAAACAGGCACATACACTGACAGACACACTGACACAAGTACATATATTGACACACACACAGACACATACACTGGTAGACGTACTGACAGACATACTGACACAGGCACATATACAGACATACTGACACACAGACACATACACTGATCAACATACTGACACCCACACACTGACAGACATACTGACACCCACATGCACTGAGAAATACTGACACACACACACAGGCACATACACTGACACACACAGACTGATATACTGACACACACACAGACATACTGGCACACAGACAGATATACTGACACATGCATACACATGCACTAACAGACATACTGACGCACTGACAGACATACTGACACATACACATACTGACACACACACATATATACTGACACACAGACAGACAGACATACTGACACACACACAGACATGCTGACACACACACACATACACTAACACACATACACACTAACATACACAAACACACACACTAACACACATACACTAACACACAAACACACACACTAACACACATAAACACACACATACACTAACACAGACTAACGCACACACACACTAACACACATAGACTAACACACACTAACACACACATACACTAACACACAAACACTAACACACAAACACTAACACACACATACACTAACACACAAACACACACATTTTTTTTTTTTAAATGTAATCCCCCCAGCCTCCTTACCTTTTGGAGTGCTGGGGGGATTCCCTGGGGTCCAGTGGTGCTGTTGGCTCCTTATGGAGGGAATGAAAATGGGTAGGGCGCTACGAAGACTTCAGTAAGCTCCCCGCCGCCGCTGGATGCCGGGTCGAAGATGACGTCATCTTCCGGCTCCGGCATCAGTGCGGTGCGCGAGGGAGCTGAAGAGGAAGCAGTGAGTGCTCCCTCGCGCGCCCGCCTTCCTGCCCGACCGCCGGGGTCAGCGGGGCCCACGGGGCAGGTGCCTCGGGCCCCCCAAGAGAAACTGGGCCCGGGGCAGCTGCCCCGTTTGCCCCGCGTTAAAGACGGCCCTGGTTCTTCCTAAAATATGGCTCCTAGACCAATGACGCATGTGGAATCAATGCACGTTAAAGCAACACAAAGTTGTAGGTGTATACTCAGATAGACTGTCTGCCTTAAGGGAGGGGAAGTGTGAATTAAGCAGAAATCTATACATTTGTTAGATATTTGGCTAGCACAATATGTAGGTGATAACAGAAGAGCAATAAATCTGTGGTAAGTGGACAATGGTAGGAGACAGTGGCGTACTAAGGGGGGGGGCGGTCCGCCCCGGGTGCCACCAGGGTGGGGGGTGCCATGACCAGCCCCGCCGGCCCCCCCCATGCTGCAACCGCCCGAGCGCTCTGTAGGGAGCCTCGGGCGGCTGCAGCATTGCCCGGGCGGTGCGTCCATGAGGGCGGACCGCACCGCCCGGGCGCAGCCCGTGTGCACTTCCTGTTAGTCCGGCCGGGTACAGGAGACAGATGCTCCCTGTACCCGCGGACTATACAGGGCTCGGCCACGCTACAGAAAAGGTAGTGGGGAGGGGGTTGAGAAAGGAGAGGGGGGGTGAGAAAAAGGAGAGGGGGTGAAAAGGAGGGGGGGTTAAAGAGGAGGGGAGGTGAAAAGAGGAGAGGGGGGTGAAAAGGAAAAAGGGGTAAGAGAGGGGGGAAAGAGGAGAAAGGGGTGAAAGAGGAGATGGGGGGTGAAAGAGGAGAGGGGTGGAAAAGGAGGGGGGTAAGAGGAGAGAGGGGGGTGAAAAGGAGAAAGTGGGGTGAGAAAAGGAGGGAGGGGTGAGAAAGGAGAGGGGGGGTGAGAAAGGAGGGAGGGGTGAGAAGAGGAGAAAGGGGGGGGTGAGAAAGGAGGTGAGAAAAGAGAAAGGAGGGGGAGAGAAAGAGAAAGGAGGAGGGGGGTGAGAGAGAAATTAGGAGGGGGAAGAGAAATTAGGAGGGAGGGAGAGATATTAGGAGGGAGGGAGAGATATTAGGAGGGGGGAAAGAGAAATTGAAATTAGGAGGGGGGAAGAGATATTAGGAGGGGGGAAAGAGAAATTAGGGGGGGAGAGAAATTAGGAGGGGGGTGAGAAAGAGAAATTGGGAGGAGGAGAAGGAAATTGGAGCAGGAGGAGCAGGGCTCGAGTCCTGCAGGAACGCGTGGGAACGGCGTTCCTGCACTTTTTTCACAGCAGGAACGCCGTTCCCCCTGCAGGCACTCAGGTGGCGGCAAAAAATGCCGCCCCCAAATGCCCTGTGTTCCCCCTGTCATGGGGGGCCACCTGATGGATTGCCC